GAACCTCCTCGTCCGAAGGTGAGCTCCATCAGGCGACATCAGGCGATCTTCCAACGCCCGCAGGCGAGATTCATCCACAGGCGAGCTCCCCCTCGCCTCTTCACGTAGGCGACCTCCTCGACCGCGTCAAGCGAGCTCCTTGCCTCTCCACGCAAGTGACCTCCTCGACCGCCTCTCCACACAGGCGACCTCCTCGACCGCGTCAGGCGAGCTTGCCCTCGCCTCTCCAAGCCTTCGATTCTTCAGGTACGTTTTCTTCAATTGAGTATAATTCTCAGAGAGTATGATGAACGTTAGATTTAGAATGAATAATAACAACTAACTAGACAAATCAACGAGTATTAATAAGATTGCAACCTCTCGACTATTGTTTTTTTATTGTAATGGAGAGGATCCAAATACTAGATGGAATCCCCTTCCCTAATCATCCTACACGAAGCATGTAGGTGATTCACAACAACTCTACTGTTCATACATAGCTCTTTAAAAAAAAACTAACACTGTTGGGGAGAATCCCCTATGCCGAGATCCAACCAAATAGCCGAGAGAGATGAACAAACACACCAAACAATAACACAAACACAATAACACCAGTTTTAACATGGTTCGGCGAGATGCCTACGTCCACGGGGCAAGGAGGGGGGTGTTTTCACTATTAGAAATCAAGAGGAACAAACTAGGGTTACAAATCTCTCATAAACCCTCAACAAATCAACTCTCAATCTCTCCAATTGCTCCTAGAATAGAAGCCCAAAGAAAACCCCTTTCAACAGCTCAAATCTCCTGCTCTCAAACCCTAGAGACACTCTCTAGGTATTTATACCAATCCCAAACAAAACGGGTCTAAAAAATAGAACCCAGCCCAAAACCGCTGCGACGGTCGACCGTGGGGGTCGATCGCGATCAATCGCGGTCGACCACCACGGTGGACCGCCCTCAATCCCAGAACAGCCCCAAAGTCTAAAAACATCTGCGGTCGACCGTGGCAGTCGACCGCCACGAAAACAGAAACTTCTACGGTCAACCGTCGCGGTCGACCGCCACTAATCCAGACGCACAGTGCCATCTGTGCACGAACGCGGCCAACCCGTCAACTGTCTGTTCTGAGCCATCGACTGCCAATTTCTACAAATCTCCACATCGGCGAGGATTCTTCCAAACTGAGCCGACACCAACCAAACCAATTTGCCTCACTTGTTGCATCCAGTACGCTATGGCAACGGACCCATGACAACGGACCCCATCCACAACATATCGAGATCCAAACGGGAGTGCGAACACTCACCCCAAACCAAAGGTGTCTACTTACCAAATCGGCTGTATCAAAACTGACTGCCTACGTATCCTCTCCAAGGAATCAAGCCTTCACATAGTTCACCAAATGGCCTCCAAAGGCCCTCAATCCAAAAGAAGAGTCCTTAACTCTTCACCAATATCAACATCCAATGTGCGGCTAACAGCATCACCAACAGTCCCATACTAAAACGATTCAAACACCTCCACCTGAGGTGAACCAATGGCCGTATCCAAGCTATATCCACCAGCTGCACACGGATCAAACAACTCGTTATCTGCATCCTGAACAATCTGATCTCCAAACTGTGTCACCTCAGCCGGAATCCAAACTAATGCAAAATGACCTGGAGTATGTGGAATAAGCTCCACCCGATGTGGAGTAGCATCAACCTCCACCGGTCTTCTTCCTCTTCAGGGCACCAACCCTTCGAGGGCCAACGGGTCGAACATGCGCAGGCCTATCACATGTTTCAACGTGTGTAGGAGCTGGTGGCTCATGATCACCGGCTGTCCTACCTAAAGTGACAATAGCCATTTCGATGAAAAAAAAAAGCTGCTGTTTATACTAATTAGAATGGAGAAAGGAAAATTAAGGAAGCAGGGCAAACCAGCATCGAGTTCCCCTCGGTCGGTATCTGCATCCACATATCCTTCCTCGGGTCTCGTTGTGTCGTCACCCGTAGGAAGGAGCTCTTCATCATCTATGGGAAGAGATTCAAACACCTCCACCTGAGGTGAACCAATGGCCATATCCAAGCTATATCCACCAGCTGCACACGGATCAAACAACTCGTTATCTGCATCCTGAACAATCTGATCTCCAAACTGTGTCACCTCAGCCGGAATCCAAACTAATGCAAAATGACCTGGAGTATGTGGAATAAGCTCCACCCGATGTGGAGTAGCATCAACCTCCACCCGCTGCGATATCCCACTGATCTGATCAATACTCTCTACCTGCCGAGAGTCCAAAGTGACATACCTACTCAGACCAAACTCAGAAGCCCTCAACTGATAGCCAAAAGAGCCTCTGAATCCCAAATGCGCAATCGGATCCAATCTCACATCCACGATGTGGCTACGTGCTGGGTAGCCCAATATCCGACGCTAACTAAAATCTTAAGTAGCTCCACCAGATCCAACAATATCTAACGCAGCAGTCGACAACCTTATAAGATGGCCCAAACCTGTCGGAGCCTGAATACCAGATCCACTGCTCGACAACCAACACCGATTCTCCTCCAAAAAAGAACAGCCCACTAAATCCGCCATCTCATCACGTCGCCCTACTGTCTCCTCTCCTCTGAAGTGTCTCCAACTGCCATGAGCTTGGCACCAATACAAGAAAGAATCCCTACTAGAACTAGTACGACAGGTAACCTCTCTGCACTGTCGCGGACTACTAGGGCTTCAGACCAACGTGACTTGGTTGCAACCTATAAATGCCTAGTACAATCCCCAACATAGGAAACAAAATAGCGATTACCTCCCAATGATGCCTCCATGGAAGGCCCCCCAATGCCTGACTGAACACCTCCAATAAGAGCACTCGATCGATGGATAGAAGTGCTGAACTCCACCTTGGTCTCCTCGCTCATCCCAATGTGCTCACAGGACTTCAATCTGTAGGTCATAGCACTCCTCAACGACCTATGCACGGCATAACCAATAATATACCCCAGCACCAACCAATGCCATAGTCTAACCAAAGAAGTCGTCAGCGCTCTATCAATCACCGTGCTCCCAAGCAGATAATACAAGTTACTCCTCCTGACGCCCTTCATCACAATCAAGGACCCTAATGTAACCTTCATGTGAGAATCCGCCAAGGTCACCCTATAGCATGCTGCCTCCTATACCCTAAGTGAAATAATGTTCTTCCTCAGTTGAGGAACGAACCTCACATCAACCAACTCCCGAATCATCCCATCACTCATCCGAATCCGAACGGTACCAATACTACCAATAGGGCACCTGTGATCATTACCCATAAATACAACATCCCCTCTTTCCAACTCCTGAAAACTGGAGAACCAATCCCTTCTAGGACATATGTGGTAAGTAGCACCCGAATCCAATATCCATTCGGTGGAGTCGGCCACACCAACTGACGGAAGAGGTGGGCATGAATAGCCCGAAGAATCTGAATCTGAAACGTCGCCACTAGCCTTGGCAACATTCACCTCTGAAGCTTGAATAGCTTTTCCCTTATTCTTCCCGGTTTGCAATTTTGGGCATTCGGCTTTCCAATGTCCATCCTCTCTACAAAAGACACACTGATTCCTACCAACTGCAGGATGCCCCCCTCTAGACTGTGACCTTCTACCACGGTTTGGACTTCTATCTCTTGTAACCAATACCCCCACAACCGGCTTAATAGAAGTCTTCTTGTCCTTCTTACGAAGTTGATAGTTCACAAGGGCCACGGTGACCTCACTATATGAAAGAGATACCTTCCCATTAATAAGAGTGAGGACGAATGTCTCATATTCCTCGTCGGGCAAGGAACTCAATAACAACAAATAATGACATCTACATTCGCCAAATCTACAAGTAGCTTCGTGTAGTGGTTCATGTGATCACTAATGGATGTCCCCTTCTTCAATTGGAAGCGATAAAGCCTCCTCTTCAAATGCAAACGATTTTCAACGCTCTTCGTCAAATACTTGCCCTCTAGGACTTCCCAAATCTTCTTTGCTGAAGTCTCATTCATCACATCATATTTTATATCTTGGGTAAGACAAGACCTAATCACACCACACGCCGTTCTATTCATTTTCTTCCAAACATTCTCATCAATGTCGTCCGGTTTCCTGTCCAACTCCAACGTATCTTCTAAATTTTACGCACATCCAAGACTTCGCATCTCCAAAGTCCAAAATTATTTGTGCCATCAAACTTCTCCACATCTATCTTCATAGAATGGATATTTAAACTTTGGACGGTCTTCACACTAGAAGAATTCCCTCCCCACTTTTATCTTTCCCGGCCATATATCTCAAAGCACCCAAAAACAATTGCGGAACAAACAAGAAATAGATCCAAAATTGACCAAAGATAGAATTTTTACCACAAAGATTCTATCTTTATCACCAACCGAAGCTCTAGATAAACTTCCCAACTGATCTACACCTCCAAAAAGCCCAGCCCGGAGCTCTGATACCACTTCTTGGGGAGAATCCCCTATGCCGAGATCCAACCAAATAGCCGAGAGAGATGAACAAACACACCAAACAATAGCACAAACACAATAACACCAGTTTTAACGTGGTTCGGCGAGATGCCTACGTCCACGGGGCAAGGAGGGGGGAGTTTTCACTATTAGAAATCAAGAGGAACAAACTAAGGTTACAAATCTCTCATAAACCCTCAACAAATCAACTCTTAATCTCTCCAATTGCTCCTAGAATAGAAGCCCAAAGAAAACCCCTTTCAACAGCTCAAATCTCCTGCTCCTCTTACCCTAAAAAACACCCAATGGGTATTTATACAAATCCAAAACGAAGCGGGTCTGAAAACAGGCCCAACTCAAAACCGCAGCGGCGGTCGACCGGTACGGTCGACCGCGAAAAACAGAAACTTCTGCGGTCGACCGTCGCGGTCGACCGCCACTAATCCAGACGCACAGTGCCTTCTGTGCACGAACGCGGTCGACCGCCACGGTCGACCGCCAACCTGTCAACTGTCTGTTCTGAGATATCAACTGCCAATTTCTACAAACACTGCATGTTTCCACACTGCTCTCACACTACATGACTAAAAGAGAGAAATGTGTTTTGTAAAATAATAATTACACCGTATTTTTCTAAATTATCCCATACTACAGGAAAGAATATATGTTTTGAATAAGTATACGGTGGGCATGGATCTTTAACAATAACACACGATACTAACGAAACAAAAACTTCCGCTGAGAAAGATTAAAAAGAAAAAAATAGGCGCCATAAAAATTCCGTTAACTAAAGCGTCCACAGCGACAAGTCCAAATTCCCCGACCACTCACCGTCCCAATCAAACCCCCTCTTTCATGCGCGGTGGCGTCAGCATCATCCCCTCCGCCATCCCATCCACCAACCCTGGCATATTAAACACCTCCTCCTCATCCACACTCCCTCCCTCCCCCTCCCTCTCCACCATCCCCGCCTCACCGCCGCCCTCCTTATCTCCTCCGGCGACCTCGACCTCGCCTCGCAACGCCCACCGAGAATCCCTAAAATTAACATCCGCCGTCTCCCCTCTTAAAGCGATGGCCGCCAGTCATACGCCCGTGCCGGGCATCATCGGAGTTGCAAACGTGCCGAGCCAAATTCTTCGGTGCTTGTTGCCGGGCTCTCGGATTTCGGATACCCATTTTCCGCCATTGCGCTCCCTGACGCCACGGTATATCGGGTGCCGGGTCTCCTTAAATTTTTTCCGACCCGCTTTGCGCTTGAAGGAGAAGGAGAGCACTGAGGGTTCTTCTAGCTCTAGCTTAAGCTCCATGGAGACATGCAAGAAGTTGTGGACCAAGTTACTTCGAGTGAACGTGACTATTTGTAAGGGGAGCTAGAGGTGTTATTGAGTCTAACTCGAGCTAACTTGAGGGACACGTGGCAGTGTGAACAGGAGAAAATGGTTGCGCACGTGGGAAACTGGAGTCGCTTTATTTGTAAAAAGCACATGTCATATAACGTGGAGGGAAAGGGAGAGGACATGTGGAAATTAGGGCAGGTCCGAGAGGGACTGGAGGTGGTAAGATTTTGATTCTTGTCGGGCGGTGGATTCTTGAAACCTGAGCTATGTTTTGGTAAGGTGTCAAGTGAGAGGTTAAGTAGACTTAATTAACTCTTTCTTAATCCGTTAAAAATAAAAAAATTATATAATAGTTAAAATAAATTAACTCTTTATAATTTGTCAAATATAAAAAATATAGAAGGATTAAACTAACCTCTCTAGAGGGATTAAAATGAGTTAACCCCTCAAAATGATGGGTTTATTAATACTTCTATTTAGATGGATTAAGAGTTAATCTTTCTAATTATAAAAAAAAATCAAAATCATTGTTAAATAATGAATAGATTCTAACTCTAGTCGTTAAAAAGAAAAAAAAAAACAGTGACAATCATCTAGTTTGTACTAATTCAATGACTTTCGTCATTATATTTTCACTGTTTGTAATAATTTATTTTCTGTAAAAGTTTCTTCTTCTGTATATGATTTTCTATAGAGATTTGTTTTCACATTTTTTTTTCTAATTAAATATTGTCCAATATTTTTGATAGTCTTTGACCGCTGGTCTTTTCTTTCTTTTGGATCCCTTTCCTTCCTTTTACGATATTAATAACCCTAGTCTCTGTTTATAGAAAACAAATTGTTGTGCGTGGAAGCCACCAATCGTTATGCTTTAAAGAACTAAACTAAACGCCGAGAGAAAAAGCCAAACAATACAAGATAACGGCACAAACACAAACAACCAATTTTACGTGGTTCGGCAAGTTGCCTACGTCCACGGGGCAAGAAAGAGATGAGTTTTCACAAATAGAGAAGGAGAGTACAAACTGAGATTATAAATCACTCAAAAAAATCAACTAATCTCACTAACAAAGCTCTCAATCTCTCAAACAATAACCCTAACCAATAGCTCGAGAAAAATCTTTTTTCTGTGCTCCAAATATCCCCAATACTTCTCCAAAGAAACCCTAAAACGTGGTTGTTATTTATATCAAACAACAATTCCAAACAGAATAGGAAACTGAAATCAGGCCCAAACCTGACTGGCGGTCGACCGCCGAAATTGTCGCGGTCGACTGGACAAAACGGTCGACCGTCGAAATTGTCGCGATCGACTGGACAAAACAGTAAAAACCAAAAATACATTACAAGGTCCGTGGTCGATCGTACTTGACGTCGCGGTCGACCGGCCAGAAAATCGAAAAACACCCTGTAGTCGTGCACGTTTGCGGTCGACCGCGCCAAAGCTCGCGGTCAACCGGCAAGCACCCAAATGTCTGTCTGCATCAAATTTCCTGATCTTCTCCAATGTTTTCGTCATTTCTACAATTCTCCACCTCTACGAAATTTTTCCAAAACTGAGCTGACACCAACCAAACCAAATGTCCCACTTGTTGCGTCCAGTATGAAGTAAAACAAATTCACGACAACAGACTCAATCTACAACAAGTCGGGAACTCAAACAAGAATGCGAACAATCTCTAAATGTCGGTATCAACTCACCAAACCGACTGCATCATAAATGACTGCCTACGTATCCTCTTGCCCAAAAAATCAAGCCTTCACGTAGTTCACCAAATAGCCTCCATAGACCCTCAATTAACTAGAAGAGTTTTCAACCATTCTCCAACATCACTAACAAATCTGCAACTGATAGCTCTCCCAATGGCCCTAAAGTAAAACGATCCAAACACCTCCATCTGAGGTGAACCATCGGCCATATCAGAATTCAAACTATGTCCACCAGCTGCACATGCTCGAATCAACCAACTCATCATCTGCATCCACATCAATATTATCCTTAAACTGTGTCACTTCAGCTGGAATCCCAAACAATGCAGTATGATCTGGAGTATGTGGAGTAATCTCCACCCAACGTGGAGTAGTATCATCCTCCACCCGCTGCGATATCCTAACGATCTGATCAACACTCTCCACCTGCCAAGAGTCAAATGTGACATATCTGCTCAGAACAAAATCAGAGACCCTCACCTGATAACCAAACGAGCCTCTGAATCCTAAATGTGCACTCAGATCAAATCTCACATCATCGATGTGACCATATGTTGGGCAATCAAACATCCGAAGTATCCCAATATCTGAAGCAGCTCCACCAGATCCAAATTCTCTAAACGCAGCAGTCGATAACCTATGACTAAGATGACCCAAATATGTTGAAGCCCGAACACCAAAACTAATGCTCAACGTCAAACGTCGATCCTCCTCCAGTAAGGAACAACTCATCAAAATTGTTATCTCATCTCGTCGCCCTAATATTTTCTCTCTAATGAAGTGTCTCAAACTGCCATGAGCTAGACACAAATATAGAAAATAACCCCTACGAAAAAACAAAATGTCGTGTTACCTTTCCGCCAATACACTTTCTTCACCTGTTGTTGACTTCTAGGACTTCATACAAATAGGACTTGGTTGCAACTCACAAATACCTAGAACAGTCCCCAACGCAAGAAACCAAATATCATTACCTCCCTATGATGTCTCCTTGTAAGACCCCTAAATGCCTGAATGAACATCACCTAGAAGACCATTCGCTTGGTGAATAGAAGTGTCAAACTCCACATCGGTTTTCTTGCTCATACAAATGTGCTCACAGGACTTCAATCTGCAAGTCAAGGCACCTCTCACCAATCCATGCACGGTATCAACACTCAAATATCCCAGTTTCAAATCCTTCTTTCTCAGCCATCTTCCTCAAATGACCAACAAACCAATGCGGAACAACTGAAAAATAGATCCAAACTGAAAAAAGAGATTTTTACCTCCAACTGAAACCCTAACAAGAGCTTCCAAAAGATCTCACCCCACACGACGGAAGACAAGATCCACAATAGTAAAAATCTTATCTTTGTCACCAACTGAAACCCTAGACAAGCTTCCAAAGCGATCTACCCCTCCACCTAATCCCAACCGTAGCCTGAAGCTCTGATACTAGTTGTTGTGCGTGGACGCCACCAATCGTTATGCTTTGAGGAACCAAACCAAATGTCGAGAGAGAAAGCCAATCAATGCAAAATAATGGCACAAACACGAACAACCAATTTTACGTGGTTCAGCAAGCTGCCTACGTCCACAGGGCAAGAAGAGGATGTGTTTTCACTAATAGAGAAGGAGAGTACAAACTGATATTACAAATTGCTCAAAATAAACCAACTAATCTCACCAACAAAGCTCTCAATCTCTCAAACAATAATCCTAACCAATAGCTCCAGAAAGATATCTTTTCTGTGCTCCAAATATTCCCAATACTGCTCCAAAGAAACCTTAAAATGTGGTTGCTATTTATATCAAACAGCAATCCCAAACAGAACAGGAAACCGCAATTAGACCCAAACCCGACTGGCGTACGACCTTCGAAATCGTCACGGCCGACCGGATAGAATGATAGAAACCAAAAAATGCATTATAGGGTCCGCGGCTGACCGCACCTAACGTAGCGGTCGACCGGCCAGAAAACTGAAAAACACTCTGTAGTCGTGCACGTTTACGGTCGACCGCGCCAAAGCTCGTGGTCGACTGACAAGCACCCAAATGTCTGTCTGTAACAAATTTCCTGATTTTCTCCAATGTTTTCGCCGTTTCTACACAAATACCTATAATATAATCTGTTTTCCTTTTCTGGAAATAAATGTGTTTCATGCGTTGAATTCGGAGGGGAGGGGGAAAAACATTCCATGCTTTATGGCTGACGTTATAAAAAATAAAAATGGAAAAGTTGCAGCACCATCCCAAATAGGCCAAAAACGTTATAATCATTAATCTAATCGCATGCTAAACCTTAGTGTTAACTGTATGCGTCAAGTAATTCAACATCAGCACTAGAGTTATATTGGGCCGGGGCAAAGTCACTTGAAGACGTGCATGATTTACCAATGTACTCAAGAAAAATGAATTAAATAAATTTCCTCGACTTTTCTTAGTGAAAAGCAATACAAAAATATACTTCACAGTTTGACCCTAATTTGACGTTACTTTGTGACCAAGAACATGTTTGGCAACATACTTTTTTTTTTTGGTCAATAAAAAAACATTTATTCATTTCCCAAATGTGAACATTTATATACGATCTAGATTCTAAAATTTTTGAGAATACTATCAGAAGACAAAAACATTGAACTTCTATGCCTATAAAAACATTGAACTTCTATGCCTATACAAATTTATAATGAGCTAATCCAATCAGCTACATTTCCAGCAATATTCGAAGAGTTTAGACATATTGTTAGAATGTCGACTTTGATCTTCTTAACCAAAATCTCCACAGATAGGTGCTTCTGCTAAAAAATCCTCATATTCCGCTCATACCATAGATGATATATAGTAGCCGATAATGCTGATCTCTTAATATTTTGTTTTATACCTTTCTTTCTTAACCTTGTACAATACCAATCCAAGAGAGAACTCCAAGAACATGATCTTCATTTGAAATGAAGCCAATCCATGATTTGATTCCATACTTCCCTTGAGAAAGAGCATTCAAAAAATAGGTGATCTCGGCTCTCTAAGCATGCACCAGTGCATAGCTTACATTGATTTGCACTTATAATACCTTTTCTTAATAACCTGTATTGAGTTTGTAATCTGTTGTTTACAGCTAACCAACAGATAAATGAGTGCTTTGGATAGGATAAACCTCCCCAGACCATGTTATATCATGGAACTATAAGGAGTTTTACTTCATCACACCAAATGACCAAATTAACCCTCCAAGCCCCTTTATCATCCTACAACGGATCAGCTAATATGAAATTAAT